ATTTTCACAAAATATTTCTTATTATATTTTAAATTCAATAATTCACAAAAATTCAAGAAACCTTCTTTTCTATAGAACACAAGCTTCGCCGTAAAATGCATTAGAAATACGCGAATTGAAGATCCTTTCTAAATTTTTCGTTACATTTTACATTTCGAAGTTCCAAAATAAGAACCACAAAAGTCCAGAAAACCCTTTTTTTCTCATACAACACAAGTTTCACCCTGAAATCCATCAGAACACTGCCTGAAATTCCTCGCCCAAGTTCATTTTCTAGTTTCCAGTCAAGCCTTCCGCGAACATTCCTGCGGTCACCGTTCACAACTATATAACTGCATTAAACTTCCAAAGTAACATACGCGTGCTTCAGCTTGTCTTTACGACCTCCGGTTATCTCAAACTTCGCCCATTCTCTTATCGCTACAAACTTCATTTGCCATGAGCTACCATAAACCAACCCTATGAGCTAAGAACCACATCGTAAACTTAGTATCTATACACCGAAACGTGCTATCAAAACCCTAAACGACGATCACGACACGAGTAGAATTCCCAATTTCGAATCACTTCAACAGACGATCTCTCTCAATTGGCTGGTATTTTATTTGCAGTAGACAAATTCGCGAATTTCCGTATGTGGAGCTGTCTGGCTCCATGGAAACTGTCCAGCCCCTCTGGGTTGATCAGGAAATAAGGGGCCACGGTCTGCGGGTCGAAACGAGGCGCGAACAGCAAGACGGAATGTTGAAGAACGTAATTAGATTTTCGCGCTCGTTACAGAGCAGACGTGGGCTCAATTTCCGGATTCGCGGGTCGCGTGTTGTTTGCATGCGCTTTCGTTTCACTGTGTGGATCATTGATCAATCTCGGAAAAGAATTTTCCATCCTACGGATGTCGGTTTGCTTGCAATTTTGTTGGAAATAATTTGCAAATATTCGTGGAAATTTCGTGAAAATATTGACTCGCTGATTAACTCTTCGAAGGGTTGAGATGAAAATTTGGTCAAAATTTAAAAATCGATTGTAAAAGAATTTTCCATCGTACAAATATCAGTTTGTTTGCAATTTTGTTAGAAATAATTAGTAAATATTCTTCAAAATTTCGTAAAAGGATGCAATTACCGAGAAATTTTTGGACAGTAATTAAGTTGAAATTTGGCGAAAATTTAAAGATCGATTTGCAAGTGAATGATTATTTTACCATAGGACGATAATGGCACTGTCGTCCTTACCGACGAAAGTGATAAGATAAGCGGTTGTTTGATGTTCAAGTTCCTCAGCATAGACGATATTCGACGGCTTGATGGCTTTTTTGCATGATATTCTAGGAAAAATATTTTCGAAGATTTCAGGAAATAGGTTAGTAGTTAAAGGATTATCGATTGGCTATCACGGTTAGTTAAAATATGTAAATATTCGTTTAATGGAACGTGGGAGAGATAATGTGGAAAGTACGTCGAATCCCTCGGAGGCCATTTCACCTCTTTACACTTCAGTCGACACGGTTTCTCTGATAAAATGTGTGGTCACAAGCTGCAGCTTCACATTATTACTAACTCTGAAAATGACCAACTTTATTTATCATTTAATCGAACTGTCTTCATAATTTTATTCACATCGGTTCTTGCTCATCCTATTTCATTCTTTACTGAAACAAAGGCTGTGTAAAATCGCAAATTTGCGTTACACAGAGACACGTTCAGCACGCCAAAATTATGTTACGACAGAACGAATATGGAGTATGAAAAATGATATTACAATGGAATGAATGTAGGATTAAAGAAATTATATTACAGTAGAATTAACACGTTCACTGTCCAACGAGTATGAACGCGAAGTTAACTCAATTTAATCGTCCAAATAAAAGAACAAATTATCCCGCCTTTTTTAGGACACACTCTTTACATTCAAATAGCACTGTTAATTTAATTATTTTCATAACAGTTCAAACATAGACCTTTTGTGGATGAGTTCAAACTGTCCTGAGTCATACGTGGTTCAGTGTACAATGTACGTGTTAATATATTAGGTGTATAAATGAATTCTTTCTGACTTTTGGGTACAACCAAAATTTGATTTAAAAAGAATGAAAACAAATCAGTTATCAATATAATTTCCATTATTGTCGATGACCTTTTGCCATTTTTCTGGCAGCTTGCGAACACCGTGCGACAGAAACTCGACGGCTTTGAGAATCAATTACGCGAATCCAGCCGGAAAGAATCCATTTCTACGCCTAATGGAATATAGAAAATTATGTTACAACAGAATTAACATGGAATGGTAGAAAATAGAATTACAATCGAACTCTGCTCTTTTCACCATTCCAATCCTGCAGAATTTCCTCCTGAAGAGCGAGGAGAGCCGTTAATCATGTTCGAGGCTCAAGGACAGCGTCAAAGAGAGCCAAGAAAAGTGGCGTCTCTTGTTTCGCAAAAGTTCTCTTGTCACGGCAATAACGCGGCGGAATGTAATTAGAAAAGTGGATCCGAAACGTTTCTCTTGCGCGGGCTCGTGCTGGCTCGGTTGATTAATGGATTCTCGCCACTTGCCGGTAACAATGCCTGTTGAATGTATCTTCTGTCAAAGAACCTCGGTGCCGACTATTGATTTTCAACTTCTTCAACAGCACCGCCCGGCATTATTCGTGTTTCCGTTGAACAGGGTTTCCAACGACCACGCGTTTCCCCAGTCGAACAGCCAGAAATCTCTAATTAATTGCTAGACGGGACCGTTTTCGTGGGAGTTAGCGAGCCAAGAGCTGGCCGGCTTTTGTGTAGGTTACGTTAACGACGGAATGACTGAACGATATTAATCGTCAGCTTGTTAATGGATTATCGATTGGTTCTCCCTTGAATTAACCCGATCGAACGTTTAACATTTGCGTAGGCGACCGAAGTGTTCACGGTTGTTTCGAGCTTTAATATTTAACGTTGTCCGCGTGAATTTATATCTCGGAAACGTCCGAAAAGTGGGGATCCGGGGCGATTTTGCGATACTTTCACGAAAACGTAAGAAATTGTTGGGAAAATATAGAAATGGGTGCCCAATTGCCTATATGAAAGATTAATATGCGGTTAACACGCTCGTTTCTTGGCAAAAAATCACGAGAGACGATAATTCTAAGAAAAACGAAATTTACATACATATATCATGCAGTTAACACGTTCGTTTCTTGGGAAGAAATCGCGAGAGACGATGATTCTCGGTGAGATACGCGATTTTCACGAGGATTTTCACGGATAAACGAAATTGCACAAATCTGAAATTTACATATGTCGTTTGGAGTATTGAAAGGGAAGAATTGTTTAAATTTGGTTATAAAAGGTCTTACTATAGCCCGAAAAACATACGTAATTTGCAGATTTGTGCAACCCTAATTTCTAGGTGTTGCAATTTTTTCGGCGAACACTGTAGATCACACAGGAACAGTACCAGTTTTGACATCGCGACGATTATAATACGAACGATGCGCTGTCGACACAGTGTCGACGATGGAACACGAGACACGCATTCTGTGTCAGTCACAGCGAACAAAAAATTCGCTAAGCGAGGTAAAAGCCATCTGAGAAATGAAGTGTCTCAAAACTCTCGTGAGATACGAAGATTGGAAGCATCGTTGGCATAAGTGTATTGCAAATAATTTGTATTTGACTTGATTTGTCCTGAAACTTTTCGACCTGAGTAGCAGTATCAACAACACAGTTTGTATTTGATACTCTCGAATGAAACTCAGCGACTGTTTTCCCGACAAACGCAACTGCATCGAAAACTGAGCTCTGTTTGCAAAATATAGCCGTTGTCCAGCGTAGAACGTTTGCTTTGTCGGTCATTAAGTCATTACCCTGAAGAGAGAACACGTTTGTCAGCGTTTGTTCAGTTCTTTCAACTGCGAACAGTTATTATTGTTGACACTGTCAACAGAGAATGTAGAAAGGATGCTCCCAGCGTTCGTTAAACCGTGGTCTTTGTCGGAAGGACGATGATGTTGACGTAGAAAGTAGAAAACACGATGCTTCAGCACCTTTCCGCTTTGCATCGGCAACCTGCTGTCTCTGGAAAGTTTGTCGGTTATTCTACGAAGATGGAGAAGGTAGTGTATGCTACTTTGGGTGTTCAGTGAAACTTCGTAGCACGCACGGAGGGGAAAATGTTGAATGGTTTCGGTTCCGCGGGGAAATTGATCCTTTGTAGCGAAGTGTTTATCACTTCATGGATATTCCACGTGACAATGGTATCTTAGTCTTTGCTCAGGCTGTGAATTCTTAATCAAATCCTTATTCTTCCTGTGTTATGTTCAATTCAAGGTCGCACAAATATAGGGTGCTTGGAAAAAAAAGTTACATGGTAGTAACTTTTCGAGAGAAACATAACTGATAAAATGTATTTTGTCATTGTCAACTCATTCTTAAAATCTTCCTCCCTTTCACAAAGAGAAGAAAAGAAATTATACAAATTCTCCATATCACCTTTTTTTTTTTGAAACACTCCATATTTGTGTAACTTTGATTCGAGCACAACGTAGAAAGACTGTAAAAAGGGAGTTTCACCTTACATTTTACAACAGTAAGTTTCTCGTTTCTCGAATTACTTTAGATCTGCAGCATTAACGATGCTTCACGAGCAATTTCGAAACCGCGTCTTGCCTCTATTCATAATTGCAACCAAGGTGAAGTTTCGCAACAAGTGAAACTTGCTCGCAAGTATCTCCATTAAACGCGCATCTACCCAGGAAACTTTCAAACACAGAATTCCACGTCTACAATTCCATCCCCGATTCTACGCTATCCCCTTTCCGCGCGTAAAGTCAAGAACAGGCTGGACCATCTTGCCCGAAAACCGCAGGCCAGAATAATCGAACGTTCGTCCGTCGAATTAATCCCGTTGGAATCGCATTATCAGCAAGAACCCTCTCGTCGTCGAACTAGCCGAAAACTGGTGTATGTGAATCAACCTTAACCTATCCGTTCAACTGTTCCAGACATCCCTTCTCCGATGTACATTAATATTCCAACTAAAACCGTTCCCGTACGTTGCTTGTTTCCAGAGACGGCAAGCGACTCGCCTGACGGCCAGAAACCGCCGACGCCGCAGCAGACGCCCCAGCAACAGCAGCAGCAACCTAACGTTGGGGGGATCGGTAATGTTGGCGGAGGTACTCCTGCAGCAACACCCACGTCCACGGGTAACGTACAACAATCCCAACAATCCCAGCAAGTAGCATCGGCCACGCCGACCCCTACGACTGCCAATCCGCATTCTACAGGACCGCCCAGCAATCAACCCTCGCCGCATCCCTCGCCCCTTTATCCGGGGATACCGCAGCCTGGCCAACCCAACGGCAGTACGCAAGGTAAGATGCAAATATTGATAGGATCCTACAGTGTGTTTGTGTGCGTGTTTGCGTGTGGCTTGTTCGAATTTCGCGGGCGAATTCGAAGAGGTTCGGCCCGTCGAAATTGATCGAGAAGTCTTCGATGTCGCGTGTACTGTGCAGGGCAGAGGTGGCGTGCGGAAACGGTAACGGTGATTTATTAGTGATCCCTGGATCACCATCACGGTCGTGATTTCTTTTACCCTGAGTGAATTTGCTCTCTGCGATGGTAATTCTAGTGATCGCTGGATCACCGTGATTTATTCACGATTGTTTTTATCCTGAGTGAATCTTCTCACTGTGATGCGATCGTAATTCTTTGGCTGCGGTTATAGTGGGCGCGTGTTAGGTCGAATTGACGTTGCGACGAGTGAAACGTTTGAAGACTGAAATGCATACACTCGTAAGAATCTGTATATGCATATGTGGTATCGGGGCCTCCAAATAGGAAATCGACAAGGGAGAATAGGGAGGGAGTAGTTGGCGCAGTGTGTAAAATCTCGGCTTGCAAAGTCGAAGGTCCCGGGTTCGATTCCCGAATTCCTTCACATATTTATCCTCTGTTACCAACAGTCTTATGAACGGGAACAGCGTTACGAACGGTAGTGTTCACTGAGCAACTTTGTGCAAGCATAAAATTGTTAAACAGTGGTTGAAATCTAACGACATTGTCCACTTGGAAGAAAGAGATGCGCAACGAGTCTGACTGGTCGAAAATAGCGAGGTTCGTCGATCCTCCAGTCGCGACTATTTCAGCTCCATTTTACAATTGTCCTTTCTAAACGAACGTTCCACATGGAACCGGTGAATTTGGCAGAGGTATATAGCCTCTTATGGCCTGGCAGATCAATAGGGGCGGTTCGATGTTTGAATTGACGAGAGAGTGGCTACACGATTGAGAAGCAGAGCAGGCTCGTGATGGTTTTATGAGCTACGTAGGTTAGGTTCGACGATGTTGGCTTGGTTTAGGGGTGTTAACCCAGCGGAGGAGAGTCTGTGGCTTGTCGAGGGATGTTTAGGACTCGCTTGAGAATTGCATTGATGGATCGTTGTTGTTTGAAGGAGCGTGTATAATTTAGGTGGATGTGCACGCTGTGGATGTGTATAATTCAACCGGTGAAATGGGAATAAATTGGTGAAATATCGTTGGAATATTTTGTGGGAGGTTTTGGACAGGCTTCTAGTGTAGAATAATGCTGGTAAATCTGAATATTCCATTTATTCCTAAAATTTAGGGACTCGTTTAATTTTTGTTCAACTGATGATGGTGTTAGGTACACAAATCCTTAATTCTCACGTTTTAACATCCTTTTAACAACTCGAATTCTTGTAAATGTGAAATCTTCAATTTTTACAATTACTATTATACGGGCAAATCCCCATAATACATTTACAACATTTACTCAAAAATCTAGTCAATGAATAGTTAAAAAAAAGTCAATCAAAATGACAATATTTCTTTGTTTCCAAGTGACACTGGATTGACCAGATCTTTTCGACTTGAAAAATCAAACTTCCTACGAACTTATCGTTCGAATGAACCGAAGTATCACTCCCTACTCTCGATACCAGCAATGATCCTGTCTAGAAAAAGAAAGAAAATTCTCCGTGTCGTTGATCCTGAGTTGAAAATACCCGCTGAAAGCGCGTCGCTGTCGCAACAGTTGTCTCGAAATTGCAATTTCGTTGCGAGGGGGCCTAGTCAGCCTAAAGTGAGATGGTTGCAAAAGAGACGAGGGAAATTATAGCCTCGTCCCCGCAATATCTAATACGGACGCGCACAATGGCGCGAGCACAGGCGTTGACCTAATTACAGGGAATCACGTGCTAGAGGCGGCATTAATGGGCTACCAAGTATGATCGCGGTATGTCGTGCTGCATGACGACCGCTTAAATATCTCGTGGAATCTCCGCCTCGGACATCTGAATCGTGCGATAACTCCGGTAACGTTAAATCATACCTGTCGTTCAATTAATCGCAAATGCCAGCCGTGTTCACCTTTCCGGTTGATACAGGTGTTTCGAATTTATCGACCCGCGGATAGCGGGTAGTTTTGCAAAGGAGAATTAATCCGTGAGCTCTGTCACTTGTGGATTAGGTAGGCACTTTTAGATTTTCCAGTGATAGAATAAAATCTAGTCTTTGTGGTTGAAGGCAATTTTTGAACGAGATTGTCAGAAGTGATTTGGTTGGAAATATTTATTGGTTGGGATAAAATTAAAGGGTAGAAGTATGAAAATTCAGGTAATTGGAAATATTTTGTAATTTTCATTTTATTATCCTGTCGTACCTCTACTTTTCGTCAATACGATTCTATGAGCAAGTTAGCTGATAGATTTAGTCACACTTTGGAAATTCTTTTGTGTTTAAATGTCTCTTCGAAAATCGAGTTTTTCATTTATTTCAGAAGAACTTTATGTGATTGTTTTTATTCATGTATAGCTCGCATATACGTTTTCATCTGTTATGTATATTTCGTCTTTACCAGTACATAAATAAAAATAGTAATTATGCATAAAATAATCACTGAAAGTTCTTAGACCCTGGTCTTATGAAACTAAATCGTTGATTTCCATTCGCGATAAATTTAATCTTGACTGCAAGCGTAGTGTCATTTTATTATATGCTAGATTCTCAGATACGTATTATACGTCATATTTCAAAGTGTCTCAGGTGGTATGGTATTAAAGGAGTAGTTAACTATCTTTAACATATACAACCACTAAATATTTTTTATCGTATCAATTTATCTTGGAGTAATATCCAAGCCGTTCAGACTCTTAATCTTTCATACATAACTCTACTCCTCGAAAAAAGTTTAACCAGTTCCTTTACGTTTTCTTCTTGCAAATACAATCTTTCCATTTAGTGCAGGTACAACGAATTACCTGTATTAAATGGATTCAAGTAACAAATTAACTCGCCGTCCCCAATTTAACTTTAAAAATCCCAGAAAGAAACTACTGAAAAAGCTGAACTCGCGAATTCAACGTCCATCAAAATCTTTCCACGAGCGACACCCGATACCACGAACGTCGTATCGAGTTCGTGAATCCGACAGGAACAACCCTCGATCTTTCACCCCTTTTTCGTGCCCCGTATCTGGCTATCAGGACTATCGTGTTTCTTCTGCGGTTTAAAGGGAATCCTTAGAGCCGCGTTTATCATGCTCGCGGGTAACGCGATCTCGTTCCACCCAAGAAATCCAGTTCCAGCCCCAATTTCCAATCCTCCCCGCGTCTCTCGGTGTTGGAGATTTCGCGGGCGAGTCTCGCGATTCCTTTTGTCTGCTGGCAACCTGTTGCGATTCGTAAATTTATTTGACGCGATTCACCGACCTCTCTCGACGTACCTTTGATCCCCTTGTTTGCTCAAAGAACCCCGCCGTCTCTAGACAGCTTGGAACGAGATAGTCGCGGTTAGAGTCCGACGGGCAATTTGCATGCAGGAGCGGCGTAATCGTGGCGCGTCTTGAACGCGCGTGGATTACGCGGGACAATTTACTCGGTGGCGCGTTCCAGCCGAATAATATACTTCCTGCAGCTGCTTCCGCCGGGGAAAATTCAGCCAGTGACCGGGTGGCTCGTTAATGTCGCGAGGAAGTTGGTACAGGGAGTCGTCTCTTTGAGAACCGGCTGCAGCTTGTCGCTTTTCGGCATTTTTTTTTTCTTTTTTCTTTATTATACTTTGATGAAAGCACCGAGCTGTGTCATATGTCACGCCCGGGGCAAGAAACTTCTTTAATATGTGGATTTAATTAACTGGCAAGTATTTGTTTTTATTGTTAATGAAGCGATTTTTTTTTGTGTTTTAAGTTTCAGTTCGATGCTAATTTTTAAGGTTTGAAATTGAATTTGACATTTGGATTTATTTAGCTGGCAAGTATTTTTTTTTACTTACAACGAAGTGATTTTTGGTGTTTTCGTGTTTTAAGTTTCAGTTCGAGGCGCAAATTTTCAAGATTTAATACTGAATTTGACAATTTTAACTTGGGTTGCGAAGCAGTCTGTTTCGAATTAGGCGTGCAGTTTTCGTAACGAAGTGGTTCTTTATACTTCCACGTTTTAATATTTGGTTCAAGGCAAATTTTCTTGGTTAAAAATTAAATTTGACAATTTGAACTTGGGTTGCGAAGCAGTCTGTTTCGAATTTTGTAACGAAGTCATTCTTTATACTTCCACGATTAAATATTTGATTCGAGGGAAGTTTTCAATGTTTGAAATTGAATTTCACAAAGTGACTCGCTTTTTTCAAATTAGGTCTGCAGTTTTCTTGACGAAGTAATTTTTCCTCGTTCCGTGGTTTAATATTTGATACAAGGGAAGCTTTCAGGGGTTGGAACTGAATTTAGGTCTGCATTTTTCGTAACGAAGTAATCTTTCATGCTTCCGTGTTTCAATATTTTTGCATTATCGATTGCCAAATTTACGATGATCTTATTATCAGGCAATTGTCCAATTTGTGCAACGTTTATCGAGTTATGCAAAACTCGCTGACATCAAAATTTCGTTGACCCTCGAAGTATCCTCCATCCTTACCGAACTTTCCAGTCAGAATGTGTTAAAAATATGCTACTATTCGATGTAAAATATTTCAAACATTATTTGTGTTCAATAATCGCTCTTGGTCTACAGAGAATTCCGACTAAAAACAGAAAAACGTAAATTTCACTGTCACTCTATACACTCATCCCTCCATTTACGCTGCCAGATGAGTTATTGACAAATTCGTCTGAAACTATAAGCAATAATAATGCAAATGAAGTAAGACTTGCAAATATTTCGATAGTGACTTTGAGCCTATGAAGAAGCGAAGGCCGATTGCTTTGAATTACAGTACAGATTCTGACACCGAATAAAACTTACTTTGCCTTTCTGAAATATCATTATTTCTTTTTATTAACCTACGCGATTTAAATGTTTTTATAACTTATACCTGTTTTTCTTACCACGTTTTTTTTTTTCATACAAGCAGACTCTATTTACGCGATTTTTATCCGTGTAAAAAAAAATGGAGGAATGGGTGTGCTTACTCCAGTGCAAAAAGTTACCCAAAATTCCACCAAAATCACACTTCTCATCCCTCAACAAAGTTGCACGAAATATTTCTCAGTTCCACGATACCACGTTTACCGAACAATTGAACTCCAACTTTCACCACGCATCGAACCTGCAAACTTCCAAAAATTTGAATTAAACCAGAAGCTACAAAAATTCCTGCGCGTAAAAGGTAAACATTGTTGAAGCCGGCAAGCACGC